TTCTTCTGTCGCTTGACAACTGGCATGGCCTGTCAAGGTTCAGTCTACGAATTAGACTGACCACCATCAGACGCGGGTAGGGAAGACAAAACAGGACAGCTGACAGCCCCTAAACCACACGGTGACGCAAAAGACGCCAACAGCAGCTGCTATGCGCATCTTCGGAGGACTAAGAGGAGGTACTCGATAGAGAAAAAAAATGCCATGAATGAGAGCAGTAAAAAGGTCGGGAACCACTGCTAGGTAATGGCTCCGAAATAAAACGTGAGAGCAGAAAGCAGCATCCCTTTACGATGCTAAGGACACACACAAGGCGACTGGAGGATCATAGATAAGTGATGAAAACGTGGACTATGAGCATTGCCGACAAAGACAAGGGAGACTGGAATGGCCATTTCTAGCTCATTATTCGTCATGAGCCAACCATATCCAACCCCATAAATGACCATTCCAACTTCCGCAGTCTTTGTCAGAAAGGTCATTCCGCCTCTAATACTAGCCGCTGTATGGCTGTTGGCAGGGTTCAAGAGTGAGCCTCAAAACAGAACGCGACGAGTGAGTTCCGTTAGCGATCCTTGAGCGTCCATCAGCCAATGTACAATATATTCGACCGTAGAGTCTTAACACTTTTGTGGCCTTCTGCGCAATCAAGAAATCCTTGCTCACCTCTTGTTATTTATTTTAGACTGAAATGAATCAGGCATTGCGCGGACGGCCTTATACTTATCCAAACACATAAAACTGTGTACCGACTGTATTTCGCGATAAGATGGACAAAAAAGGAAGAACTTAGAGTGGGTTTAGGGCTGTAAACTTCAGCTTATGAATGCGAGCGAACAAGATCGTATCCCAGATTAAGTATGTCAACTGATTTGTGAGCGCGAATATGTTGATGAACGATGTGCTTACTGAAACACGTGCTCGTAGCAGTTTTCTCGATGAAAAAAATATTTTCAGGCTCACTTCTTCGCAACTGTCTTGTATACTTTGGACGCCTGTGACCAGTTATGACAGATCCGCGTCGGCAACCTAAAGCTTGATCACTTCCTTGCTAGTGTCTTCTTTGATTCTTTTTACTTGTACTAACCTTATTCGGGGAATGGGCGACATCACTCCATAGAAATTTAAATTAGTTAGCTTCATGTTTACGCGAATTTTTACTTAGAGTGAATTGTGCGCAAACTATGCTGAAAGGGTTGGATGCACACCGGTACTCGTTTCTTTGAACAAGCTGCATGAGCCTAACGCCAACTGTATATAATCAAAGTGCAGTTTCCGCCAGACGAACAGTAGTGCACTACATCATTTTACGGCCGGTTGTCGGGTCCTTCCGTTGTTTGTCTTTTCTTTCAGCTGCATGTTGAGTGTCCACAATTCCTTTATAACCTAGATCAGTGCCAGCTGCTAAACATGGTCTGAAAGTAATGATACCACTTGAGAACATGTTCTCAGAATGGGTCTTTTTGGATCCAGTTACCCCAACTGGAGAGTCAAGGAACTCAATAATGAGCTCAGCCTCTCGCACCTACGAACGTTTAAGAAAGGCGTATCTGGTCTTTTAGTTAATGGTTGTTTTAGGAGAATGATATAGTACAATTCTGTGCACAGTTAGCATTAGGGTTGCGAAGAATCGTGATCAAGAGCAGAATGACTTGGTGCAGATCCTGACCTTTTATGTGTGCAATTTGCCGAACCAGCTGACAGATCAGGTACTTTTGACCCCCGGACATGGGCATAAAACCATCCTCTCCTTTCCTGGGCCATGCACTAATGTCTAGGACGGTTAGGATTAGGGTTAAATTTCGTGTTAGAGTTAGAGCGACGACTCCAAAATAAGTAACCTTCCTGGAATTTTGTGCAAGGCCTCCAGTATTGCCGGCGTGTTGAGCTGCCAGCCCATGCACTGCCTCCAAGATGAACGAGGGGTGGGGGGGATCTAACGAACCCCGCGATTTTTATTTTGCCGTCAGTCCTGGCTTTGTGAAACGTTCACTTAACCATAAGAATACAAGCAAAGGAGAGAAGCCAACCAGTTAAGCCTTTGGCGTTGGTTGGGTCACTTTTAAAAACAACGCTATGCTTTCTGCAAATATAAACTACTCGGATCGGGCTCTGTCTGCAAAGATTTACTAGACAAATATCACAATCCCTCAAAGTCTCCCTGTGGCTAAGATAAAAACTTCATATAATGTTCCTGTTACAGGGCTGTAAATGTAAAGTATACGTTTTTCGCCAATGTTCGTTTGCTCCTCTATTATTCCGTCATAAGTCTTTCCGCCAACATAAGACCTACCAGGTGGAAAGTTTTTCAGCAGACAGGGGAATGCGATGGTTTACACGGTTACAAACTGCATTTTAGTTTCCTCATGAATTTCCTCGCTTAGTGACAAAAGTTCTTCCGCCTGTAAAAGTAAAATGCCCTCAAAGGCTTCCCATACTTTAACTCACATGATGCCGGAGTTTAACACTTTGGTTTAAAAAACTGTCAGGAGGTAGCTGTTCAAATGCTGTAAAAGGTAAAAAGCATAGAAAAATTACTGGTTGGATTGTCTGAATGCATCCTTGTCTTTGAATTCATAATAAAGACGGATGCAGGCTGTTACCACAGACTGCATAAAAGCAAAAAAATGTGTTCTGCTTAAATGTACTATTGTGTTCTTCTTTGCAGAAGAGTTGGCCAACCTGATAATCAGTCTCAAGGAGCTTCTTTCCCAACGTGTAAGTCCGTCGTTGGCCCGTCTCCTTCAAAACACATCTACCTCAAGCGGGGACTTTACTGCTAGCCAGCGCCTTGGCCGTGCCTCTGCTGACAATGAGAAGACCGCCACTGTAATCAACGACACCCTGAAGAGCCCAGGGTCGCTTTACAGCCACGCCAAATGGTTACAATCTGCAATTCACGGTGCATTACCGTTTAGGATATATATTGATTA